TTGGGAGGAGAGGCCCAGCCCAGTGTCAAAGAGGTGACAGCTCCCCTGCAGAGCCCAGGGAGGCAGCCTCAGGATGGAAACTCACAGAAAGACTGGAGGGAGACACTTCTGGCCTGCACACCTGCCCCAGGGCCTGGGCTTTTGAGGGTGTTTGCTTTGGGCCCACCATTCTCTGCCTAAGGCTCAGCAAGGCATTCTCCAGAGGTCCGTAATCTCACGGGCACCTCGGGGTCCTGGACAGTGCAGCAGAGATGGCCCGGCAGAAGAGGGCAGCAGCCAAGGGCATCCCTGTGCTCAAATCCTGGCTTTGCAGTTCTTCCACTGCACTAGTCCCATGCCCTCATTTCTGGATCACAGATGCAGGGAGTCGGCCACATTGTAAGCACTCAGCAAGTGGTCGCCAGGAGGCAGTCCTCCACTCCCACCACCCCCAGCCAGCTATGTGGCTATTTCTTTAACCCGTGCTCCACATACGAGAAATTCTCTCCCTTCGCTGACACATTCAAGAAGCGCGTCAGCAAGAACACGTTCTTCGTGCTGGTGAGGGTGGTGGATGAGCTCTGGTGAGTGCTTCACCCTTGGGGTCCTGGCGGGGGGGCCAGTGGGAAGGCAAAGGCTTCTTTCCACCTGCTTCTCCTGCCCACCAGCTCTGGGCAGAGCTGGCTCTTGCCTGCTTTATCTTGGTCCTTTGAGAGAATAGCCTGTCCCCAATAGACCAGGGTGAGGTGGGTGAGGTATCTCTCTAACCCAGGCCCTGGATTTCCTCCTGAGGTCCCTCCTGGACCCTCAGGAGAGAACCCACCCCATCCACCTGCTCCCATGAGTATCTCAGGACCAGTCTCCAGCAGGCCATGCTCTCGACTGCCAGCCACGGTGGAGGCTGTGTGGAGGCTGGAATGGGGGAGACCGCCTCTCCCATGCTCCTCAGCATTCCTGTGGCTGGCCATCTGATGGGCACGGCACTTGCCATATCCATTCTGCTAACAAATCTCCATCAAGCGGGCTGCCTTCCTCCTGCTGGGGGAGATGACCATGGTCAGTGGCCATGCAGCTGGGAAACGGCCACGTGTGGACAGTGCTTAGCAGGGCAGGTTGGGGAGCATCCCTCAGGCATCTAGTCTGAGAGGCCGGGAAGTCTTGGCATCTCATCACCCAATGGGAGCAGCAGCTCCCCAGGGCGGAATTCGTGTGGGATTTGTCTCTGCAGTCCAGGCCCCGGCAGGGTCCCTGGCACTCATCCACTCTGAGGCTCAGGTGGCTGTTGAGTGCGTGGCAGGAGCTTATGACCTCCAGGAACACAGGTAGCCATCCCAGGCTCTCGTCTCCTGCTCTCTTCCCATGAAAAGTTTCCCAGCTCTGTGCCAGTCACAATCACATACGCTTTGTATATCCCGAGGCAAAGCCAGACTCTGCCTGGGCCTTGCATTCCTGCTCCTCACCTTGTGCCCTTTGGCCCTTCAGCCTGGTGGAGTTGACAGAAGAGATCCTGAAGCTGCTGATGGAACTGGTCTTCCGCCTGGTGTGCAACGGGGAGCTGAGCCTGGCCCGCGTGCTCCGGAAGAACATCCTGGACAAGGTGGACCAGAAGAAGCTGCTCAGGTGTGCCACCTCCGGCCAGCCCCTGGCGGCCCGGGGAGTAGCAGCCAGGTGAGGAGCCCTCCTCTCCAGCCCCGCCTCTTCCCCAGGAGCCGTGCCTTTCTCTTTTTACCCTCCCTCCCCGCCAGCCCCACAGCCCCATCCCAGTTCTGCACAGGCCCTTTGATGACGCCTTAGGGACAGCCCCATGGGTTCCTGGGGGCTGGGCCTCTTCTCCAGGAGGCACATACTGGGTGGTGATCCCCTTGTGGCCAGGAAGTGGGCAGCAGGGCAGGGGGCTTCATAGGACAGGGCAGAGGTGCACATGCCCAGGGCTGTGGTCACTTCTGGGTTGTTCCAGCACAAACATGGTCATGGTTGATGCCCAGCCGCCCCGGGCCACCCTGGCTATCCCTAGGAACCTGTGTAAAGGTTCCTGTCTGTGGCCCATCCCCTCTACCTGACAGTGTCATTTGCAGCTATAGATGTCTGTTGAGTAGTGGGCTTCTTCTCAGCTAAGTTTAGCCCTTGTTTCTCTGGCACCCTCTCTGTTCTTGCTGGCTACCCGGAAGCAGGGTCCAGCAGTGAGTGAGCATTCCCTGGCATCTCCACTGTCCATAAGCTCACGAGGGAAACCCAGGCTCCTGATTCCAGAAGCTGCTGGACACACCCGGCAGAAATGGGAGAGAAAGGCAGACAGTGCCATCCCAGAGAGAAGCATGAGGCCCATAGGGTCCCAGGGAGCCCTTTGGGACTTTCCCACCCCTTAGCCTCCACACTCCTGCTGTCCAGAGAGGCTCTCCCACTCTGACTCCTGCAGCCCGAGCCTGCTCAGCTCTCCCCACTGCCCTCCCCACCCCTGACGGCTCTTCTCATGCCTCTGTCTTCCAGGCCGGGGACCTTGCATGACTTTCACAGCCATGAGATAGCAGAGCAGCTGACATTGCTGGATGCCGAGCTCTTCTATAAAATAGAGGTATTTTATAGTGGTCCCTGAATGAGAGAAACCCCCGTCACAGGAAAGCCAGCGGCTCCACCTCCATCTGCCTTCTTTCCTTTTGCAGATTCCTGAGGTTTTGCTTTGGGCAAAAGAGCAGAATGAGGAGAAGAGCCCCAACTTGACCCAGTTCACGGAGCACTTCAACAACATGTCCTACTGGTAAGAGGTGCCCAGCGCCAAGCCTGTGGCTCTGGATGGCGGCACGACTGGATGGGCTCTGCGTATTCCTCTGCGGGGACCTTGAATGGTAGGGGAGGGAGCTGCCTCTTTCATTCCTCTCAGCTCCTGGAGGCCCGGTGAGCATTCACCATGAACAGTCAGCAGAGGACAGGGCAGGGACAGGACAGGGCTTGCTGGAAGTGGCCACCTGGTCAAGGAGGCTCAGCGGGGAAGAGTGCCAGGGTCGAGGAGCGGTGTCTGCTGTAGGTGGTACCGGGAGGGGTGTTGAGTTTACCCTCCTGCCCTTGTCACTGCCAGGCCATGTCAGGTTGACGCTCACACTGGCTCTGCCTGACAGAGAACACTTAGCAAAGGAGTGGGTTCTGTTAATGTTTGTATTTAGTCTTTATTTCTTAAAGCAAAATGAATTCCAGTAGTGTGTTTATAAACCAGAGCTCTCGTCTCTTCAAGAGGTGACAAAACCCCCACAGCAGCTCAGCATCGGGCAGGACCCCTCAGAGCTCTGCAGCTGTGCCACCCCCACCCGCCTACTCTTGCTGCCGGGAGAATGGCTGATGTATTTTAAAGGCCCTGAGGTCATCTCCCCTTTCCCTACCTTCCCCCCACAGCACGCCATCCTGGGGAAAACATGTTTAGCTGTGGCAACCAGAAATCCAGTGTAGGCTTTTGCCCAACGGATGTGGTTTCTGGGGCAGACGGAAGCTGCACACAGCCCCAAGCCTGGCTCTGACACCAGCCTCTGGCCGGGTGCAGGAAGCTCAGGGGCACACACCACAGGGCCTGGCTGCACAGAGGTACAAGCGTGGTGGCTCATGCCTATAATCCCAGGACTCCGGGAGGCCGAGGCAGGAGGATCACTTGAGCATAGGAGTTCAAGACCAGCTGGGCAACATAGAGAGACCCCCCCTCTCTACAAAAAATTAAAATTAGCCAGGTACAGTGGTCCATGCCTATAGACTCAGCTACTCGGGAAGCTGGGGCAGGAGGATCAGTTTAGCCCAGGAGTTCAAGACTACGTGAGATACACTCACAGCCGTGGGCAATAGAACAAGACCCTGTCTCAAAAAAAGGAGGAGGCAGCCATGCAAAGTGCAGCACCTCCTCCAGGTGACCCTGGTGGTGACCCCTGGGAAACCACAGGAAGTTGAGCCCAGCGTGATGTCCCTGCTGCACACATGGCACAGATGAGACTGGCCTTTGGCTTCGGTCTCAGCTTTTGGTTGCTGCTAAGGTTCTGAGAGCTTCCTTCCCTCGTGGCTGGCAAAGGTGACCTCTTACCTCATACGCCAGCTGGTCTCCCCAAGCCAGTCCTGCACCACACAAGGAACTTTCCCAGCCCCATGGTACTTGGGGTCCATGCTCATCAGGAAAAGCTTTGCTTTGATCCTCCTGCACTCCACCTGCAGATTCAAAGCCCCCTTCAGGCCTTCACCACATTTCCTTATGGTCACCAGATTTGTTATCACCAGATTTCCTTATGGTGTCTTGTCTCTGTCCCGGGATGCTATGAGCTCTTGGAGAGCAGAAACTAGGTCTATGCCTGGGGCAGGCTGCAGGTACTCAGTAGGGGTGGGCTCGTGGTCACTGGCATGGGGGTCATACTGGTCCTGTCTCCAACAGGACCCCTGCGGCCTGCAGGGACCGGTCAGTCAGCTATTTCTTTTTCCCTTGCTCCATGCAGGGTCCGGTCAATAATCATGTTACAGGAAAAGGCCCAGGACAGGGAACGGCTGCTCTTGAAGTTCATCAAGATCATGAAGGTAATGGTGGCCAGGTCCTCCCCAGACCCCCGTCAGTCCCTGCACGGGGAGCTTGGGACTGGCCTGCCCTCCCTTCTGTCCTCCTGTCTGCCCTCTCCCTTGCCCTCCCTCCGGCCTTCCTGCCTGCCCTTCCCCCTGCCCTCCCTCCGGCCCTCCCACCTGCCCTTCCCCCTGCCCTCCCTCCGGCCCTCCCACCTGCCCTTCCCCCGCCCTCCCTCCTGCACTCCTGCCTGCCCTCACAGCACCAACCCTCTCTCGGCAGCACTTGCGGAAGCTGAATAACTTCAACTCCTACTTGGCCATCCTCTCTGCCCTGGACTCCGCGCCCATCCGCAGGCTGGAATGGCAGAAGCAGACTTCAGAGGTGAGTGGCCTTGGGGCATGGGTGGAGGGAAGCTGGTAAGGGAGCACCAGCTGTGGCAGAAGGTGCTCCAACTGGAGTGAAGGCTGGGGCCTAGGCCCCTGGTCTGCCACCAACTGCTGTGTGGCCAGGACAGCTGCCCTCCCACCTCAGTTTCCTGTCTCTGATCCCCAATCTTCAGGCCCCAGGGGGCTTCAAGGTTGGTTCTGGGGTGATCACATTCTGGTGTTCTGCTGCCACCCAGCAGGCCCATCCCTGGGTTCCCACTTCCCCCGCCCCAGCCTCCCTTCAGCCTGTCCTTCTGAAGGGTCTCCTTCAGGCCAGGCCCCGCTGGATAAGTGCAAAAAGAAGGGTGGGCAGGTAGGCCAGCCCAGAGGAACTGTCACTCATGCCACCACCCATAAAGGAAGAGGAGTTTCCTGAGAAGGGAGGAGAATCAAAGGGGATAAAAGAGTGCACAGCCAGAAGTAGGTGGGGGCTCAGCATCCCCAGAGACAGGAGGAGGCCAGGGGGCCACATCCCCAGAGAAGACCAGCTCTGGGTCACAAGAGCCTCAGGAGGCCTGGTGAGGTGTGGGATCTTTATCCTGTGGAGGGAAATAGTATTGCAAATGGGGGCAAAACCCATAGCTTTGAGTGTCAGCCAGGCCATCAAGGGGTCGTGTCAGGGATCCAAGTTCAGGCAGGCCACCCAGGGATTCTATCACGGACCCAAGTATGACCCAGGCCATTCAGAGGTTCTGTCAGGGACCCGAGGGTCAGCCAGGCTACCACCTGGGGGTTGTGTCAAGGACCCAAGTGTGACTCAGGCCACCCAGAGGTCTTGTCGGGGACCCAGGCCACCCAGGGGTCATGCTAAGGTCCTGCTTGTCAGCCAGGCCACCCAGGGGTTGTGCCAGAGACCCCAGTATCACCCAGGCCACCCAGGGTCTTCTCGCTCGAGCCCATGTTCAGGGATGGTTGTAAGCTAGTGTGTGTGGAGAGGTGGGAAATTGACATGGCCGCTCTGTCTGGGGGGTCCTGAGGAGGCAGCACTTCAGGGAGAGGCACCTAACAGGAGAATAGGCTGGAGAGGGGCCTTCTGAGCAGGGGCAGGGCTGGCTGAGTCTCCTGGGTGGCAGCTCCCTGCCCCTGCAGGAGGAGAGAAGCCACCCAGCTGTGCAGAGGGCAAGGTTGCATTCTGTCTCTGGTTGGTCCCCCTAGTGCAGGGCAGAGCAGATGCAGCTCCGAGCCAGGAGTGACACTACTCAGTGTGTGCCTGAGAGGCTCCTCTGGCCACACCACCTAGTAGGGCCAGGCAGGAGCCCATCTTCCAGGATGTCATACACACATGGATGCTGGCTCCCCAAGCACAATGAGTACCATGGGGTGTTTCTCCACAAAAGGGCCTCAAGTCCCCCTGTGACCAGGGGTTGAGCTGACACTCATTGAAAAGGACAGAATCCCTGCCAGCCAGGGCCTGCGCCCAGGCCTGCACCTGCCTGAGTGTTTGCGGATGGTGGGACCTGTGGAGGTGGACAGAGGGTGGGTGACCCTCCAGTTAGCGAGGAGGACCAGGGCTCTGCCCCAGCATTGCGCCTGCACTCGCTAATCCCCGTCCTGTCTTGTCCTGCCAGGGCCTGGCTGAGTACTGCACGCTGATCGACAGCTCGTCCTCCTTCCGAGCCTACCGGGCCGCCCTCTCGGAGGTGGAGCCTCCGTGCATCCCGTACTTGTGAGTAGCAGCCCCTCCAGGCCCCCAGCCCTGCCTGCGTTTGCCTCCATTGCTCTGGGGAAGATCTGTCAAGCTCCCACAGAGAAATCCTAATTTAGGGGTTTCCAACAGAAACATTTATACTTCTGTTTTACTTTAAGCTTTAACAGTAAAATGTGCTGCTTGTAATACAATTTAAACAGAAAAGAAGGGCTCGGGTGAAGCATACAAGTTCTCCTTCCCCAGCCACACACTCATTTCCTTCTGTTACCTGCCCGTGAGCATGTGCCACCATGCTTGTGGCAGATGTGTGGCTCCTCTCCCTTCACATGGCATCACATGGTATTCCAGTGGCCCCCACACTTGGCTGAGCATTAGAACAACCTGAGGATCCACAGCCACCCAGGAACCTTGAGAGCCTTGGTGTAAAGTTCAGAAAGTGCTTCCTGAGTGTGGACCATGGTAGAAATATGTGTTTCATAGAAAAGGAATGTAGCTGAATAACTAAAGCCAAACAGTGTCTGTTGCAGGACTTACAAGAGCCTTTAGTATACTAGTAAACTCTGAGACTCTCCAAGAGACCAAAAACTCAGCAGCGTCCCAGGCTGAGTGTTGAGTGGCACATCCCTTATGGTTAGGGCCACCCTCAAGGCCTCAACCCTCAGAGATACAGATCCCCAGACTTTCTGCCCAAGCGCTAACAGTCTTTCCCACTGTGGCCCCACATCTGCTCCCTCAAGCTGAGTTCTCCCTGAGTGGAGGAACTGCCACCGTCTTTTCTCGTCTGGCCTGAAGGCCTCTGCAGTCAGAAGCACCTATTAAGTTACTATACCTCATTTGTTTGTTTGTGACCGAGTCTCACTCTGTCACCAGGCTGGAGTACAGTGGCATGATCTCGGTTCACTGCAACCTCTGCCTCCTGAGTTCAAGCGATTCTCCCGCCTCAGCCTCCTGACTAGTAGCTGGGATTACAGGCATGTGCTACCATGCCTGGCTAATTTGTGTGTGTGTGTGTGTGTGTGTGTGTGTGTGTGTGTGTGTGTGTGTAGTTTTTTAGTAGAGATAGGGTTTCACCATATTAGCCAGGCTGGTCTTGAACTCCTGACCTCAGGTGATCCACCTGCCTTGGCCTCCCCCAAAGTGCTGGGGTAACAGGCATGAGCCACTGTGCCCGGCCTGTTTCTTTGTTTAATAAAGACAGGATCTTCTGTCACACAGGCTGGAGTGCAGTGGTGCAATCACAGCTCGCTGCAGCCTTGAACTCCTGGGCTCAAGGAATCTTCCCACATCAGCTTCATTAGTAGTGGGGATTACAGGCACACACCACCATGCCCAGCTAATTTTTGTATTTTTCATAGGGACAAGGTCTTGCTATGTTGCCCAGGCTGGTTTCAGGTTTGTGGGGTTTTTTTTTTTTGTTTTTTTTTTTTTTTGGAAGGGGTTTTTCTTTTTTTCTTCCGGGTGGGGTGCAGTCTTGGTTCACTGCAACCTTTGCCTCCCAGGTTCAAGTGATTGCCCTGCCTCAGCCTCCCTAGTAGCTAGGATTACAGGTGTGCAACACCATGCTTGGCTAATTTTTTTTGTATTTTTAGTAGAGATGGAGTTTCGCCATGTTGGCGAGGCTGATCTTGAACTCTGGACCTCAGGTGATCCTCCAGCCTTGGCCTCCCAAAGTGCTGGTATTACAGGTGTGAACCACTGCACCTGGCCTAGCTGGTCTCAAGCTCTTGGGCTCAATCCTCCTGCCTCAGCCTCCTATAGTACTAGGATTACAGGCATGAGCCATCACCACCAGCCTACCACACCTGTTAATAAAAGGAGATCTCTGCCCCTGCCTCCTGGTTTGAGCTTTGTAATTTACTGCTCATTTGTCAATTTTGCTTTAGCAGCCCACAGCTCTGCCCATGTGGGTTGAGCCCTGGCAGCGATGTCTCCCTCAGGCTCCTCATCGGCTACACTGGCTTCCAAGGGGCCCAGCAGCCGCTTGTGGAGCCAGAGGCCAGAGGCCGTGAGGCAGGAGCTCGTTCTGGGAAAGACAGACACCCCAGACTGGCCCTTTGGTTTGCTCTGGGGTGTGGAAGCAGCAAGGGCTGGAGTCATGTGTCAGGTGATAAGACTTGAAGTGAGCAGCTGCCAAACCAACCCCTCTCTGTAGCAGTAACGGGCTTCCTCACCTGTCCTCCCAGGGGGCTGATCCTGCAGGACCTGACCTTCGTCCACCTGGGAAACCCCGACTACATCGATGGGAAAGTGAACTTCTCCAAGCGGTGGCAGCAGTTCAACATCCTTGACAGCATGCGGCGCTTCCAGCAGGCGTGAGTGCCGCCCCGGGAGAGCTGGGCAGGGCTGAGCCCCAGATCACATGCAAGGAGGGACAGCCTGGGACGCTGGGGGAGGGGGAGCCACAGAGGACCTAGGGCCCTCCCACCTGCTGAGTCCTGGCCCTTCCAGTTTCTGCCAGGATGACTTGAGAGCATGCCCACCAGGCTCTGTGCCAGGGCTGGCCCTGGGCCTGGGCCCCGTGACGGCACAGCTCATCCTCCCATTTTACACACCAGAAGCTGGTGCCCCCCTTGCTGTGAGAAGGGCCTGACAAACCCTGGCCTGCCTGACTCAGGCACCAGAGCTCCCCCAAAGCGGTCTCTGGCATGCATTGTTGAGGGCAGTGGGGTCACCTGGGGCCCCTTCCCTGTGAGTAGCTCAGCCTCAGGGCCCTGTTTGTGCTCCATGTGCTGTTGGTGCCATCTCTGAGCGCTGGTGTCCCCCTCTGTCACACCGCGTAATGGCAGCCACTGCAGCATCCATTTGCTTCGAGGCTGCGGGGATGGTCCCCACGGCACCATCCAGGAGGGCAGCGCCATCGGGCCCTGCAGCCCACACAGCTGCTCACTGACGGCTCCCCATCCCCTGCACCAGGCACTATGACATCCGGAGGAACGACGACATCATCAACTTCTTCAATGACTTCAGTGACCACCTGGCTGAGGAGGCCCTATGGGAACTCTCTCTGAAAATTAAACCCAGGAACATAACAAGGAGAAAAACAGACCGGGAAGAAAAGACCTAGGAGCAGGCACCGGGATCTAGGAGAACGCTCGAGGGGTGCGGGGGCGGCTCCCAGACCGGACAGGACCTTGGACCTGTTAGGCGCATGGCAGGAGTCCCGGCCTCAGAGCCACGAGGCTGGCCAGGCCTCAGCGGTGCAGTGCCGGGCCGGAGCTGGAGCCTGCTGGCCGCTTCCTGCCTCCCTCCTCTCTGGGAGCAGACCCGTGGGCCTCAGTGCAGCCAGTAGGCAGGTCTTGTTGCTGATTTGCAAACCGGTGGTTTTCTGGTTTGGTTTTGTTTTCTGCTTTCACTTCCATCTCTCCCCGCTTGCCCTCCTACCCACTCCCCTCCAGGGAGAGAGCAGCAGAGACCTCATTAGCAGACCAAGGAAGTGGCAAGTCCTCCCTCTCCCTAAGCTTCAGGGTCCCTGAATCTTCTAAAATGGCAAATGGGTGGAGGCCTTCCAGGGTAGGCTGTCCTCCAGGGGCCCTGGAATGGGGGAAGCAGCTGTGTGGGCAGAAAGCAGAGTAGACTGCGGGAGGGTCCTTTCACTTTCCGTTTCTGCTTCCGATGCATGGAGGATGGTGTGAGCTTTACAGCAGGCCCAGAAAGGTACGCAGGTGATGCCTAGACACCTCACAGCTAGTGCTCTGCACCGAGGTACTGGCGCCAGCAGGGACCCCCTTGCCCGCCTGTAAGCAGCAGTGTCTGTCATCTTGTGGCCCTTACCTCCCACCCCGCCATTGCGCCTCTCCCACACCATCTAGGGAGCTGAGGAGCCTGGAGTAAGGGAGGACTTGATCATCCAAGAAATACTTTTTATTGCTGGGAGTCTTCTGAACCTCACCAAACCGGGGCCAGAGCTGAGCTCCTGGGGGAGTTAATTCAGAGGGGAGGGGCCAGCCTCCCTCCTCCATTGCTCGCTGTGTGCCTTAAACTCCATCTCTTGTCCCTCCTCATCCCATGGCCTTCACTCCCTCCCTCCTTGCCCCATCCTGGGCTGGCCCTAGGGGCTCCTCCTCTGGCTCTTTCAGCCAGTGCTGTTAGTGCCCCTGGGAGGGAAGGGCATCCCTGAGGCACCGGAATGGTGCAGGCACTCCTCGGGGTCCAGGGAGGCAGAGGCCTGGCCACGGAGGAGCCTCCTAAGGTGGCAGCTGTAGCAGGCGGCCCTCCCCGTGTGCCAGACCATCTAACAGAGCAGATGCTCTTTCCATCCTCCTTGTCAAAACCATTCTCGCTGCTGAGGTTGACAATCTGGGCAAGGCCTGTGGGGCGCTTGGCAAACAGAACCTGCCCTGTGCCACCGGCTCCATGGCCCCCAGCCCACGCCTCTGGGTCTGCTTTGCATGAGAGTGCACGCTTGTCCCGGGTTTGGGACATGGTCAAATGAAGAGCAGGGTCTAACTGTGCGTACTTAGCCTAGTTCAAACGGAACAAAGGAAAAACGCAGAAAGCAACATCTGTTGATCATTAAGGTTTTCTTTAAAACAACCATGTCACTTTGAGTCCTTCATAGGTTTTTGAACAGCATTTATCAAGAAGAAAATGTGGGCTTCTTCCCTCTCCCGTGTTGTTTGTCCTGTAGATGGAGGGAGGAGAGCTGTGATGCAGCAGGCGGGACCCCCTCTGGCAGCGGCCCTGCAGGGCCAGCGGGACCTGTCACTTTATTATTTAAGGAGTGTGTGTGTAGAGTCGCTGGCTTATTAACAGTATTGTGTGTGGGTTGGGTTTTTAGTTTGTTCCTTCTTTTAAAAGTCCCTTCATTTCAATCCTTGCCTCTCTCTCCCCTCCCTTGCCCGGCTCTGTTGAATGCTGCTGTGCGCGTGTGAGGGCCGCTCTGCACACAGGGCCCTTGGGTTGTGCGAACTGAAATTCTCCCTGTATTTGTGAGTCTCCTGCGAATCCCCCTCTGTAGCACAGGCAATGCCAGTGCCAAGCTGCAGCCTCCAAAACCAGGCCTCACCCCAGCAGCAGGCGGGTCCGCGCCTGTGGTCAGGTGCTGTCCACAGCTCTGTCTGCCTTGTTCTCGGGCTTGAGCCAGATGGAAGCGGGTTCACCTTCCCTGAATTCAGAACAGACCCTGTGCCCGGCCCTGGTGTGCCCACGCAACTCCCCAGGCCCTTGTTGGGAGCCCTTGGTGGTCTGAGCGGCAGGGCCCAGGCAGCACGTGGGCAGTGCCCAGGGGCTCCCTGCGTGAGGATGGCGAGGTGTGTCTAAGACCTATTGATGACAGGCATCCCCCTGCACCCAGCCGTGGTTGTTGCTGAGCCCTGTGCTCAGTGCTGTGGCCTGGCCGTGGCTCTTCTGTTCCTTGAGGGGCCGGGTGTGTTGTGGGAATCAGTCTTCACAGACAGACGTGAGCCAGGCAGAGGACTCGTTCCCTGCAGAGGTCAGTCTCACCTGCAGGTGTCAGGGGAGGGGGGCCGAGGAGGGACAGGCACACACCATATCTGACCTGAACCTGATTCTGAGGAGTGTCTCCCGCTCCAGCCCCATGACCTCCACAGGGTTATATTGTAATATATGTGCCCCAGCTAACCTGTCTGATGGGTGGCATCTTCCTGCAGACATTTCAAACATGTAACTTTTATATGAAAAAAATAAATGGATGAAAGCTGCCCGATGTCATGTCTGCGCCGCAGCTGCGTGTGTGCAATTCCAGCGACAGCCCAGGCTGCTCCGGGCTGGCCTTGCTGCACAGGAAGGGCTCCTGGGAGACTGAGGGTCATTCAGCACCATTCCCAGGCCCACTGGCTGCCGTTGGGGTAGTTGTGGCTGAGTGAAATGGACGTCACCAGAACCTTTCCTCCTAGGCCTTGTGCCCTAGAAGCATTCAGCTGGGCAAAGAATTGCTCATGCCTGGAGGTGGGTTCATACCAAAGAGCCCCTCACCCCAGTGTCCTGGTGAAAAGGCATTCCTTGGGTGGGATGCAGGGGCACAGGCCCTAGAGCTACTCTTCAGGGCCCAGAAGCACTATGCCTTTTGTGATGTGTCCTCTGCCACCCAGGAGGCAGTGCACAGACTCAGGCCCAGCCCCAGTGGGGAGCAGCAGAGCCTCTGCACCTACAAGGACTGAGTGAGGAGGCCCTGGGGATTCCAGTAGCATCTCTGCCCTGAGGTGTGCTGTGTCCTCTCCATAAAGCACGGGGCCCAAGGGCTCTGGGAGGCCATTCACCATCTCTCTGTCTTCCTTGTCCTCCCAGAGCCACCCCTACACCACGTGCCCCAGGGTTTCCAACCTAGCACCTGAGACTGAGCACCAGGGCATAGCCACCCAGGGATGGTGGGGGTTGGGCCTAGCCCTCATATTCGCCCTGGTTCCCAGTCTCCAGCTTTCAGCTCCATGTCAGCACCTGGGAAAGCCCAGGAGCTCTGCATCGCTACCTGGTCGTGCAGAGGTAGGACCCGGCGAGGAGAAGGCATCTCCCATCATGCACCCCAAAGGGCAGCAGCTTAAGTCTGTCTCTTTAAAGGGAGGGGGCCAAGTATTCCTGGGCTGATCACAAGATCTGATAGAAGGGACCCCAGCATCAGGTAAGCATCCACTGCCCCTCAGCTTTTGGCTGAGCACCTGTGTGCCAGGCAGCACCTGAAGCTTCCATGAACGAGGGTGATGGAAGCCCAGGTTCTCGCCTTTGTTCCTCATGTCCTTGGTCAGATCGCTCAACCACTCATGCCTCAGGCTCCTCATTATCGCTGTTGTCTGATTTGACCAATGAGCACGCAGAGGCCTGAGAGCAACCAGTCCATTCCTGAGTCCTCCACCCCCATCCCCCTCCCCTGCCAGCAATGCCAGGAACCTGTTCTGGCCCCAACAACCCCAAAGAGCAGGAGGTGACGTGCCAGGTATGACCTCAGGCCTCAGCCTTCCCACCAGGGCTGCAGGGCAGCAGCTGCTGCGACCCACCCTGGTCTTTGATGACCGGCAGACCTCAAGATTCACCAGGGAGTTGCCATGGTCACCGAGGAAACACCTTGACTTCCACCCCACACCAGAGAATCCCCACCCAGGGCCTGAATATGCATGTTTAGCCAGTAACCCAGGAGGCTCAGATACCTGCTCCAACCAAGAACTGTGGTCCCACTGAAAGTGGGCCCCAAGCCACCCACCTGTTCTGACCTTGCGGTCAGCAGTCTGGGTCCCGCCCCCAGTGGTGCAAGGCTGGAGAATGGGGTATGATGGCTGTTCATTGTTACCCTCGAGGGGTGACAGGCAGGCCCAGCATTCATTCAAACCATATTTTTCATTCATTCACTAGGGGTGCATTATTTAGGAAGCAGTCAAGGTGGGGCTTGGGCTACTGGAGTCCCTCAGTGACCGGCAGCAGCCTGGGGGAATATGGCCTTGGCTGCAAAGGGCTATGTCCTGACTCTGCTGCTGATAAGCAAAGGACCCTGGGTAAGTGCTCTTCTCTGCTTCCCAGTTTCCCCAGCTGGAAGAGGATAATAGCCTCTACTTCCTGAGGTCTCACAAAGTGTCTGGTGAGCATTTTTAGGTACCAAGCCCTTTGAGACTGCTTTACCTCATTCAATTCTCTTAATTGAAAAATCACTTAATTGAAAAATCACACAGGTCGGTGCTATGGCTCTTGCCTGTAATCCCAGCACTTTGGGAGGCCAAGGTGGGCAGATCACTTGAGGTCAGCAGTTAAAGGCCAGCCTGGCCAACATGATGAAACCCTGTCTCTACTAAAAACACAAAAATTAGCCGGGTGTGGTGGTGGGGGCTTGTAATCCCAGCTACTCACTCAGGAGGCTGAGGCAGGAGAACTGCTTGAACGTGGGTGACATGGGTTGCAGTGAGCTGAGATTGCACCACTGCACTCCAGCCTTGGTGACAGAGAGAGACTCCAACTCCAAAAAAAAAAAAAAGGAAAGAAATAGGGGAAACAACTTGTTTTATGAACAGAATAGAACCTTGACATTGAATCAGGACAAGAACGGTACAAGGTAATTACAAGTCAGTCCAATCTGTGAATACTGATACAAAACTTATAAAATCATCTTAGCACCCCCAAACCAGCAATGCATAACAGTTCTTCCTGACCAAGTTGAGCTTATCTCAAAAATGCAAGGATGGAATAATTTCAACCAGTTAATGGATGACACTGATGCCATGCTAGACGCTGCTGCTCCCCACGTCTGATTTGCGTCTCCTTCCTAGGCACACAGGACTATGCTTCCCAACCCCCTGCCTGAGACCTGAGAGGCAGACACGTGTCACTGAGCTATGGGCATTTAAGGACTGCTCTGCAGGTTCATACTTAACTCTTTCCTGCCCCCAGTACCCCTGGAGTCTGGGTGTTGAGATGCAGAGCCCCAAGCTGGGGGAGCCTGGACAGGGGCCACGTGGCCCACTCATCCTGGCTGTGCTTGCTTGATGTGAATGAAG